CAGCACCCTTGCCTCCCATCCCAGAAACCAGCCGCCCCCCCGCAGGGCAGACCCACCCCTTCTCCTCCTCTTCCTCCCCACTCTTCTCCTCCCTTCCCCCTCCCTCTTCGTCCTACCCCTTCCCCCTCTCTTTCCCCTTCCCCCATCTCCCCCTCTTTTTCCTCCTCTCCCTTCTCTTCTTCTTCCTCCTCCTCCTCTTCCTCCTCCTGGCCCATCCTGGGCCAAGTGGTCCTGCCGCTGGTGTGCCGCCAGGAGCCTCCTTAGCTGCCTTCCCCGGTGCCCACACTGACCATCTGTCAACTTCATTTAGACATTGCAGCCCTCAGCCACACGCCAGGGTGCCAGACGCCCAAAGGTAACGTGCCAATCCTCTCTCTTTCCGACTAGGGCTGCACGCTCCGGGACAACTGTTAGAAGAGGGCGAGAAGCCTGGCGCCCGAGCGCCTCAGGGGTGCGGCCCAGGGCCATCATGGGCATTTTCAGAACTCTGAGCAGAGGGGTTTAGATAGAGAAAACTAAACCAAGTTTTAGAGATTCTGGGAACCTGGTCGAAGAGGACTCATGTTTGCATTTGTTTCCACTTCCTTTCTGTTTTCTACTGGATGTTTTGTAAAAAATGCAAAGGGAAGGCCCATGCTGAGCAAGATAAGTGACACAGCTGTGTTCATGTTCAGTCCTGAAGGCATGTGTCACTGCCACTAGTTCACATCCTCAGTCTCAAGGTTGCCCAGCAAAGAAACCATACCATCTCAAAGCTACCTTCTGTGGGAGAACGTCCAACCCCACTGTGGCTAATTTCGCTCTACATAAGAGGCTAGGAGAGAGGATGTGCCCTCGGGAGGAATCACTTCCAACAAGACCCGACAGTTAGTTATTGGATTACACGTGCAAGGAAATGTAGTCTGACCAGAGACAGGGGCTGGAAGTGGGAGGAGGAGAGCAGGAGGCCCCCGGAGCCAGCGGCCACACAGGGCTGATGGAGGTCGCCTAGCGGGGAGGTGCTGCAGACCAGCGCACCAAATGGGAGGCAGAGCTGAGTGCACCTCTGCGTCTACTCTGAAAGGACCAAGGTGCAAGCCTGTCTGCTTGGAAGCCTGGGGAGATGGAAGGGGGGGGTGAGAGAACAGACGAGTGTGCAGGGATCCAGAGAAAGGCAGGCAGCAAAGAGCCTGGGGTGGGACAGAACTGAGGGAGGCCCTTGGGGCTGGCACTATGTCTGTGTGCCCCTGGAGCTCTGGGACTGCTCCTGGCTGAGTGTGCTGGTGGGGCTGTGGAAACAGAGGGGGAGGGGAGGGGGGAGGGGGGAGGGGGAGGGCGAGGCTGGGGGTTGGGCTGGGGCAGGCCCCAGACAGTGACCTGAAGTTGAGTGGAAGCAGGCTTTTTCCATCAAGCCCTGCCTGGATACCACACACAGAGACCGAGTGTCAGTTTACTGCCCTGAGCCGGGCTCCTTTTCCCTAAGCTCCACAGTAATTAGACAAAGAAAACCTAAATTAGCTGAACAGGCGTCGACAGCTTCCTCCAGAGCACCCCTGGTACCTACATGGGAATGTGTCCGAAAATGGCTTGATTGTAGCCGAGAGTCAGCTAAGAAAACACTGCCAAAATGAACTCAGTTTACCGCTCATTTCCAGCAGAAAAAAGAAACAAGTCGCTCTTTTCCGGACGGGGTGTTTGATTGAGCGGGGTGGGGGCTGCAGTTGTTTCCACTTCTAAGAATTTCTCTCCAAGTGACTGGTGAGCATTTTTGGGGCATGGGTCCCCATATTTTTCATGATATTTTTTTCTCTTACTCCCTTTTGTCATTTTACATGGAGTAATTTAAGTAATCAAATATAGAAGTAAATATCAAGTATTCACTAAATCAATGCCCTAAGTGTCTGAAAGATAGTTAAATAACATAGAAACTGAAGTTAGGAGGACAGATAGAATCCAAAAGGAGCTCCAGCGACACAGCCATCGGTGTGTGTGTGTGTGCGCGTGCGCGCATGTGTGTGTGCATGTGTGTGTGTGTGCGCGTGTGTGCAGTGGGAAAGCAATGGGCCCAGCTGAGCAGCACGGGGAGAAGGAAGGCAATCATCTCATTTACAGAGGGAGGTGGCGGGCAGTCGATTTGGGGACAATTCCACAAGTCAATATCCCTGTCCCTGGACCCTCTCTGCTTTTCTGCACCAGGGAATTTTACGTCCCTTGGCTCTCAGGCCCTACAACGTTTTAGGACCCAGAGACTGAAGAATAAAAAGCACCAACCTGTGACGTCTGGGCAGGACTAGTGATAACCCTGGATACCAGGAGTTCCAAGTTTGGGGGTCATGGGTCTTTTGAGAATGTGGTGGAAGCAATGGAGCCTACCTGCAGAAAAAAATACTGCCATTTTGCCTGGGATTTAAGAGATCCCACAGATACTCATTTAAGGAACCCCTACTGTACACATTTTTAGTTTCTACCAATTCAGTTGGTTAAGTTATCAGGCATTTTTTAAAGGCTTACTTCCCCAGCCAGGTGACAACGGTGTCCATTTTACCTGAACTCTCTAAACTTGCGAAAATACCCCTGGAGTGTGGTGAATGTTGCAGCAGCCTAGACAGGTCCTGGAGAGGCAGCCGGGCCCGCAGAGTAGATGGAGCCCCAGCCAGGAGCAGCCCTGCACTCCTGGAGCCTTGCGCTCTCTCTCTGGGGCCTAAATACTGCTCTCTGCTCCAGAGAGATGCGGAGGTTGGCGACCTTCTCAGCTATGTGAGCCGGGAGGGGCTCTTCTCCAGAGCTCTTTCTTGGAGACCCCACTTCTGCTTATGGAAACTGCTCCTGGGGCAGAGCCCGCCTGTATTTGTTCACGGTCGACTTCACAGGCACAAGCTTTTCCACTCCCAGCACATCGCCAGCTGCCATCTGGCCTAGGTACCCTTAACCCCCTTTAGAGGGAAGGAAACTGAGGCTTGGAAAGACCAGGTGACCTGCCACAAGTCACACCTGGGCAAGTGATGACTCTGGCCTGTCCTACAGGCCTGGGTTCCCACTTCAGCGCTGTTTCCACTACACTGCAGCCAAGCCTCTCTGAACTTTGTCTCAATCTCTGATTCATATAAGTCTCCTGCGTAAGAATGTATGTGATGCCAAATCATGTCCCATTCTTCATCCCCAGCAAGAAGACCTAAATCTCTGTTTAGCAGATAGGGTCTAAAAGGAAAGTTA